GGCCAGACCCACTCAGTCCAGCATGGAAGGTTCTCCCAGGGAGCCCCACTCTGTCCCGGGGTCCTACCTGCAGGGGTCAAGGACCAGAGAGGGGAGCCTGCCCCTTGGCAGAGGAAGCAGAGATGACCGGCAAGCAGCTTTGGGCAGAAGCAATACACTCAGGCAAATGTTTCTCCCCAGGACAGTCGCATGACCTCAAACACAAATCTACATCTCCAGGGAGCACAGGTCTGTGTGGCCGGCCCCCAGGAAAGACCCTTCCCCGGCACTGCCACTCCAGCCCAGCTCCACCTGCCTGGGTCCACCCAGTTCTGGTCACACATGCTTCATGAGGGCCCTGATCAGGCCTGGGGGACCACTGTACTGGGCACCCCTCAAGGTCAGCACAGGGCATGGGGCGAGCCCATGACTGTTAGGCCCTGCCTGTGCCCCACTCCTACCTTGGGCTCAGCCTCACCCCTGCCACCTCCCGGGCCCTCCCAGACCTGTGGCCTTCGTCCCTGCCCATCTGCCGTGACGGGGTTCCACGGAGCACCTGGTCCCTGGGGCATCTGGAAGTTTCCCCTGCCAGATGCTGGCGCCAGCTATGGGAAGGGGTTGCTTCCCCATGTCTCCCCCCACCCCCAGCCCAGGGAGCTCTACCCCATTCCTGGCCCTGCCTCCAAAGGCCACAGACCCTGCACATGGCCAGCCTGGGCAAGATCACCTGAGAGGCGGTGCGTGTTAGTGTCCTCGTGGGGATGGGCCCCTACCCCAGCCCAACCCCCGCAGCAGGCATAGGCCCCCATAGTGCCCACCAGGGAGGCTCCTACAGCTTGGCTGGACCCCGGCCCTGGACCCCTGTGTCCAGGCTGGGTCTGTGCTGTGCAGGGCGTCCCTCCTACGTCCCAACTCCGTGTCTCGTGCTCCTGTTCCAACCTGAGTCACCCGATGCTGTGTTCTGGGCCCTCTGTGTGCCCATCCTGCATGCCTGTCCCTGGTCTCCTGGCCCCCATCCCAAGCCAAGGCTCTGATCTCTGGCCAGGCCTTCTAACCCACCAGCCCTGGGGGGGTGCCTTTCCAAGTCCCCCATCCCAGCCTCACAGCACCTCCCCATTCCAGGGCACTGGGCTCTGCCCCACCTCCTCGGGACAGCTGCAGGCCACTCGAGGATGCCCCTTTGAAGCCAGTAGGGCCAGGCGGGGAGGGTAACACCCGAGGGTGTCGGAGCCTGGGCCACCCTTTCACGTTCTTGCAGCTTCACAGTGAGGCGGCTTCCCACCTAGGACTGGGGCAGAGGACCTGGTCCGCACCCAAAAGTCCCACTGGCCACTCTGGCTTATCCTCACCCAATATGCCGGGATGGCCTGGCCCAGGTCACCCTGAGGACACAACTCCATCCCCTCCTCTCACCCCCCAGCTGGGACTCCAGGGCACATGGGACTCTGTCCCCACCCACAGAGCGCCTGGCCCAGAACTGGAACAAGGACACAAGTGTCTGCCTGTGTCCTATAGCACCGACTGCCCACTGACCTTCCCGAAATGGCCAAGGACACCCAGGCCTGGCCTTGCCTGTGAGAAAGGATACAGAGGGGAGGGGAAGGCGAGGGCGCAGCCCTCCCTGGGCAATGGCCCTTGCTCTGGGTTCCCTTCCTCTGGGGGTCACCAGCACCTTGCCCGCTGCCTTCCTATCTCCCCAAAGAACAGGCCCTGTCACCGTGGCCTTGGATTTCATGTCCCCCACTTTCTCCCTGCAAGACTTCCAGGCCCCTGATTCTTGAGAGTTCCTCCCCACCCTATAGCATTGTGTCCATCTCTCCTGGGCCCAGGAGGCCCTGAGGTGGGAGGACAAGGGTATGGGCGATTAACAGGTCTCGGTCAACACAGGATGTATGGGTGGCAGAGACAGCGGGGCCTACAGAGGCCCCCACAAAACTCGACCCCCCCTGGCCTTCAGAGCCCTCGAGCACTCTGCCCAGGTGGGACACCACCTCTCAGATCCATAGTCCTCTGCACGTCCCGTTGGCCACACCCCAATCCCTGGGTGCTTCCTTCCTCATGTCCTGGAAGCACACAGGACCTCTGTGTCCCCCTCACTGTCGCCACATGTGGGGGCGGGAAACACAATTTCTTCCTTGGAAAGGTGAGGGTGCCACAATGCGGGAGTGCAGGGTGATTGCACACACCCTCATGACGAGGGGCTAGGAACAGGGCGGAGCTAGCCATGAGGTCGGTGAGGGAGCGGGAGCCATGGCCACAGGGGCCCATGTGGAGCCGTGCAGGGTCAAGCTGGAAACAGTCCAGGAACAGAGAGGACATGAGGACAGGGCCACAGGTGTCATGGCAGAAGCTGGGGTGGCCAGGGGTGGGAAGTGTCTGGACGCCACAGGGGAGCAAGGAGGAGCTGACACCCTTCATGTATTCCCTAAGGAGGGCAAGGGATTGGCTGAGAGGTCCAAGCCTCAGAGGCGTGTGCTGGGGTGGCCAGGGACCTGTGGGAGGGGGATGTCTGCCTTGATCTTCTTTGCGGTCCCCTATCCAGCCTGGCATCCCATGAGGAACAGCACGACAGAGTGCAGGGTCCAGGCTGGCCAGGCCAGTCCCACCATGACAGGGGCCCCCAAGGGTCACAGGGACCGTACAGGTAAAGTTTGGGCCTTTCTTTGGTCCCCACCTCGCCTGGTTTGAGACCAGGTAAGCTTATTGACATCACGTGCCCCCATTCCCTCCCCAGGCAGTGTCCGGCTACTGCCAAACCCTTTCTTAATGTATTATGGTAAAGGTTCAGGGTCAGCGTATGAGTGAGAACACGTAGTACTCCTGGACAGGCGATGAGATGGGCTGGATCCCAGGGTGCCAGCTGAAGGCAACCCCACGTGGAGGGCCCTGGACCCCAGTCCCAGAGAGCTGCAGCCATGGGGCGGCGGTTCCAGCATTCCCTTCAGAGGTTCTGAGGTCTATGCTCTCAGGTTCCCTGGGGAGGGACACTCATCCCCTGCCATCCAGAGTCAGCCAGCCTCCCAAGGTCTCTTCACTGCCCAAGGCCCCTTGCTGTCCAAGATCCCACATCCTCCCACCATGCAAAGTCTCTGTCACACAAGGTCTCCGTCTGCCCAATGTCTCCCACCTCCCGTCATCTCCCTTCCACCCCTCTCTCACTCCAAACTGAAACCCAACTAGGTGTTGGCCTGAAGTCTGCCCTGTCTGGTGAACGTCTACTTGGCCATCAGCTGTAGGCCACCTGGACCCCCATTGCTTTCCTGGTCACTGGCTGGGCCTCCCATGACATCTGCCAGCCATAGATGCCCCTGCACCAGGGGATGCTGGCCAGGCCTGTCCTAAACTCAGTCACTGTTCATGAAGTCAGGGTCACCCCGGGTGGCTTCTCTCAGGGGACAGAGGTAGGGTCCACAGTGGGGAGACCAGATGACTGTGAGGGGACATCTCAAAGGATACAGTGGTCAGAGATGGGCCCTGGTCTCGGGAGGGGTCTCTGACACACTTTCCGACAGGTCATACGTCACCTAAGGTGTCAGGTGGGGTGGCATCACCTCAGGAAACACTCAGGCCCAGTGCTAGCCCAGTTTGTCTCGCCCACCAGCAAGACAAGGCCATTCCCGTGGCACCTCCCATGGCTCTGGGGACACCTCACACTGGTGGTTTTGCTGAAATCCATACAAGGGGGTCTCAGCGCCTTTTCCTAAGAGACTCTGGAGCCCCTGGGCAGGCAGGTAGACCCAGGTCAGCCCATACCCTCCATGTTGACTGGGTTTGCTGGAGCCATGGTTTCCCCAAAGGAGAGGAGGACTGTGGTCATACTGCCACCACAGACCCTGAGGACAACAGGAATCTGACCCTACCCCAGCTCTTGGAGGCTGGCCCTCCATCTCCCAGAGAGCCCCTGAGCCCTGCAATGCGGGCCCTTTGCAGAGAGATGCAGGCAGTGCCAGAGTAGGGAGGGGCTGATGCCAGCGTGCACTAGGTGTGCAGGAGGTGGGCCCAGCCAGGCATGTGGGCAGCTCAAAGAGCCAGCTGGGGTGGCTCCAAACACCCTGAGGCTTGGAAACCCCAAGTTCCCCTGCTGAGAGGTGCTGATGACAGGTTTGGGAGCCTCCAGGTCACCGCCCTGCGGCTCAGGTCCCACCACTGAGCTTCCAAGAGTCTGGCTTCACTGCAGGGAAAAGCCTTGGTCCAGCGCTGGCCAGGCATGCCTGCTTGCTGGTAAGTCCAGACGCACAGACACACATGCATAAGCACATGCAGACTTGTGTACGTGTGAGCACATGTGCACACATGCACACACATGCACACATGTGAGCACACGCATGTGCGCATACACAGACAGGCAGAAATACCATCGTAGAGGGAAAGGATGCACACTTTCATGTTTAACAAAATAAATTAAATATACGAGGCTTCAGCTCAAACTCTATATAAAATTACAGAGGTCTGGGGTGGCCCTGCACTGGGGTGGTGGGAGCCTGGCCCCAAGGGGGTGTGGCCCTCCAGCAGGGCCAAAAGGCCAGGAGGGGCCTGGGCCCCAGGAGAGGCCAAAGTCCCAGCGACCAGCCAGCCTTCCATCATTATTAATATTATCTTAATTTCTTAAATATAAATACCAAGGCCCCGGAGAACAGGTGAGGGAGTGAGCCACCTGCCGCGGGCTCCAGCCTTCAGGCCCGGGTTGCTGTGCCCCCACCCATCCCAGGGCACTGGTAGACTCCTGGACACCCAGGCCAGGTGGCAAAAATAGCCACCGAGGCCAGGCAGGGACACTGGCGGGCAGGGGTGGGGAGATTCCTTCATCAACTAGCCCATTGCTGCATGCGCGCTGCGAGTCACACAACACACCTTCAGGCACTCAGTTCACGTGTGTATGTGTGTGTGTATCCAGGCAGCATGTCTACATGTGTGCATGCATCTGTGTGTCCAGGCAGCATGTCTGTGCACATGTGTGTGCGCGAGCAGCATGTCTGTGTCTGGGCATGTTTTGTGTGCGTGTGTGTGTCTGGGCAGCATGTCTGTGCACACGTGTGTAGTGTATGCAGGCACCATGTCTGTGTGTGCATGTCCGGGCAGCATGTCTGTGTGTACGTGCAAATGTGTGTTCGGTTCAGGCAGCGCCTCATCTGCGTGTGTGGGGGTCCATGTGTATTCAAAGGCATGTGCTCCCGCAGGGTGCCCAGGTGCTAGCCACACCCCCTCGCAGTGGGTCACCTCCCTTCAGTGCCCCCCACTCCCCAGCCCACCTGCCTGTCCACCTGAGCCCCCACTGCCCCCACAGACCCAGCACTCCGAGGTGCCATCTAGCACTGATAGTGGATATGCTGGTGCTGGAGGACTTTGCCCTCCACATGTGAGTGTGTGTGTGAGTGCGTGTGTGTGTGCGTGTGGATGTCTGTGTAGAGTCTGGGGTACAGCTTGGGGCCAGCCATGGAGCCTGGGCCCAGCAGGTGCTGGGGGGCGGCGGAGGCCCCATGCTCCTCACACGCTCCCATGCCAGGGCCAGCACCAAAGGCCGCCGGCACGGGCAGGTCTCTGTCCACACCACGCTCCCGGGCAGTCCCAGGTGTGCGATGGCTGGGTGGGGGAGGGGCGGGCGCGGGGCTGCATGGCTTCTTCTTGGCCTGGCACAGCCACAGCAGCACAGTGCCCAGGATGAACACGGCGCCGGCCGGGATGCCGATGACCACGGGCCATGGCAGGCTGGTGGCTGAGGTCGAGGAGGCCACAGGCGGCCCTGGTGGCTTTGGGTCTACAAAAGAGACCAAGGAAAGGCAATAGGGATGGAATCGCAAACTCAAGACCAGCGCACGTGGGGTATGGGGACGGTGCCCTGGCTGCCCTGTCCTGGGCAGAGACCAGCCCACTGGCCCAGGGAGGGACTGACCCCTGCCCCTGCAGATCAGATCCTGGGCCACAGTGGCCCAGGCTGGCGTGGGGGAACACGCACCTGGCAACACGGTGAGGAAGGCACTGCGGAAACTGTAGCCCATCGTGTTGGCACCCAGGCAGATGTACATGCCTGCATCGTCCTGGCGGGCACGGGTGATGAGAAGCTTATTGAGGTAGGAGCCGTCAGGTCTTGACCACACATCACCTGTGGGCAGCACCACGAACTTCTGGCCACCCACGTCGATGGTGGAGTTGTGGCGGCCCTCGGCACCGTACTCCACTCGCTTCAGCCACTGAATCACAGGCTTCACATCGCTGCGCACCTTGCACTGGAAGGATGTGGTACCCCCAAAGTCCACTGTCGTGTTCACGGGATGTGTGCCTGTCAGCACCGGCTTGGAGCGAGTCCGCTCTGCACAGGGACAGGGAGTGTGGGTGTGGCTCCCAGGCCCCGCCAGGCCCCTAGCCAGATACCTGCTCCGGGCCCCTCCAGGCCTCTCCCACTGCCCGCTAAGGCCCCCAACTCCCTGCCCACCGGGCCCCGGTCCAGCCCCCTGCCTGCCAGGTCCCCACAGGCCCCGGCCCCGCCCCACACTCACGGATCACGTCCACCTTGTAGGTGGCGTTGATGGCGCCTGCGCGGTTGGACACACGGCACGTGTACTTGCCACTGTCCTCGGGCCGCAGGTTCTTCAGGCTCAGCGTCCACTTCCTCTCCCGGTGCCCACCGGCCTCCGGGCGCAGCAGGGCCTGGTCGTCCTTCAACCACGCGATGTCGGGCCGCGGGTGCCCACTAGCCACACACTTGAGCCGCACAGAGCTGCCCACAGGCCGAGCAATCACCCGACGCCTCATCTTGGAGGGCTGCGTGAAGCGGGGCCGCGCTGCGGGGCGGGGCGGGTGAGGTCAGCAGCTGAGGAGGGGCCTCGGGGCCTCAGGCCTCAGGCAGGAGGACCCACCCCCTCCAGCTGGTGACCCCCAGCCCGTGCTCACCCCACTGCTGGCCGGCCGGGTCCTCCTGGCCCCCAGAGGCGCCCTCGGGCCCAGGGCTCTCCTTCCCTGGGCTGACGTCGTCTACAGGAAGAAGGACTCGTGGGGGAGGGCATGTGATGGGGGCCGAGGAGCCCCTCCCCAGGCCCTGACGTGGCCCCTGTCCCACCCTGGCCCCTGCAGGGACGGCCCTGGAAACCAAGCAGGAGACCACGGTGCACACCCATGTCCCCAAATCCTGGAGACAGCTGGGCAGGAGCTGCCTGCCTAGCCCACACCCAGGTGCAGGTGACCTCAGCAGGCAGGGGTGGGACTAAGGCCTGAGCCCCTCCAGGCTCCAGGGGGTCTGCAGGGCCCGGGAGAGGAGGGGGCCAGGACAGGCAGGCAGCTGCAGTAACCCTAGCCCACATCAAGGAGCCGAGGGCTCGGTGGAGACACGGCTCACATACCACCCGGTCATCGTCCCCTTTGAAAGGCCTGTGGGGAGGTGGCCGCGGTATTCCCATTCCACCACCCAGCCTTGGGGCCCGCGTCGGGCGGTGCTGGGGGCAGGCATGCTGAGGAATGTCCCCTCCCCCCGCCTGTGACAGCCGCTTCCTCCCCTGAGCCTGGGGCTGGGGGCCAGGCTGTACAGACCGCACCCCAGACCCAGCTGGGGCCTGGGCTGGGCTCCTCCATTGGGAAATGGGCCAGCCTGGTTCCTGGAGCCCCACCCAAGGGCCCCGCACCAGGGAGCCTGGTGGGGGCGGGAGGACTTGCCTGGTACCACCGTATAGAGGGTGTGTCTCTGGGACACCTGTCCATGTCCCAGCACCAGGGCCCCAGAGACAGAGAGAACAGAAAGGCCGTTCGTCCCGCGGCCCCTCTGAACTCCGAAACCTGAGCCTCAAAGTCACAGCCGACGCCAAGGCGCACCCTGCCAACGCCACAGCCCGCTGGCCCTTCCAAGGGACCACAGTCTAGGGCTCCCTACCCCTCCCCTGTTGCCCCCAGGGAGAAAAGCCCTAATCTGGGGTCTGAGGAGGGGGTCCTGGGCTTTCCAGGGGACCCATCTGGGGGCAGGGACAAGGTCAGGCCCCTCCTGGGTGCTGTCCAAGTCACAGTGATGGTTCAGGGGCGCCATGGGGGAAGGTGTGCCACTCAGGGCTGTGGATTTGTCTGCCCCAGATAAGAGGGGGGCATTCCAGGGGCAGCCCCAGGTGCACCCACTGCCCTCCTGCCCACCCCTAACCCAGCCACAGTCCCTGCAAGCGCAGACTAACCCATCACAATGAGGGTGTAGTTGACACTGAGGCTGCCGAAGCCGTTGGTGGCCTTGCACACGTACACACCGGCGTCTCCCAGCTCCACGACCTTCACCTTCAGTCCCTGGGGCAGCACACGGAAGCGGCTCCAGCCACTGTGGATCGTGCGGCCATCCTTGGTCCACATGGTCAGTGGTGGCGGGTCCCCCTCTACTGGGCACTGCAGCCTCACAGTGCGGCCCAGCCGGGCTACCTGCCGTGGGACCACCTTGTCCGCCATCCTCGGAGGACCTGCAGGTGGGTCAGAGGCAGTCAGTCAGGGAGGGGTCAGCGGGAGCCATGAGGGGGCCATGAAGGGGCCATGGCTCAGCACAGGTGCCAGGAGTCAGGCTCTACCAAGACGCAGCTTGTGCTTCCCAAGACAGGGGAGTCCTGTCTGCCCAGCACACAATGAGCATGGCCTGGCCCTAATCCAGGCAAGGGGACCCTTGGGCACCGAGAGAGCAGGCTCTCTCAGACATCAGGCTAGTAGGCTCTTGGGCACTGGGTTTCTCAGGCACTGGGCTAACAGGCTCTCTCAGATGCCAGGCAAGCAAGCTCTCTTGGGTGCCGGGCTTGCAAGCTCTTACCGTCAGCCTGTGTGCCAGGAACAGGCCCTCTGAGGAGGAGGAAAGCACAGTCCCCAGAGGGACCTGACTCAAGAAGCCCTTTAAAGCCACAAACCAAGAGAGCAGGGCCATCTCCTGGACGCAGGAAGAATCAACATGGCCTCCTGGTCGGAGGGGACAGGGACTCTCAGAGAAAGGGCAGTACAGGGTGGCAGCTCCTGGAGGGTCCCAAGACCTCGTGGGCCCTGAGACCTGCCTGCCTCAAGGAGACCCTGTCCTCCCTGCCCTGCCCCCACTGTCATCCCAGGGCCTAGCAGGCCCGGCCACAGGGGCGGGGGGACCTCATGGCCATCACACACAACCAGACACAGGTCAGCCAGAGTGGTTGCCCAGGAAGACAGCTGGGTGGGTGCTCATGGGCAATGTCACAAGACGTGTGGGCATGCGTGTGTTCACATAATGCAGACGCATGGATGAGTCTGTCTGGTGTCTCCGTGCTGCGCACAGTGGCCATGCCTGACCACGCATCTCATCTGTCTGCCCAGATCCACCTGCCTGCCTGCCAAAAGCTGTGCCCTCCCAGGTGGCTTAACCTCGAGCAGGCAGGATACCAAGGCCCTGGGATCAAAGGGCGAGCATCTGGAGAGGGTGGTGGCTCTGGAGCCTGGCATGGAGTCCCCCTCCCCAGCCCACCAGAGTCCCAGGCCCATCCCTGGGCAGCCCCTCCCTTCACCTGCTGCTGCAGGAAATCCCACCACACACCTGGCCCCAGAGGCAGCAGCACCAAGAGAGAGATCCCAAGGGCCTGGCCCTCTCATGGGGGACACACTAACCCAGCACCCCTGCCCCAGAGGGAGCCTGCCTCCGTGGCAGTGAAGCCCCAGCTTGGTCGCCCATCCGGGAGGGTTACTTGCAGCCCCAGCACCCGCTGCCCCAGGAAAGGCTTTGGAGGATCACCTGCAGAAAGGCAGGAGCCATGGGTGTGGGCAGAGATGAGGAGGTTGGGACCCCTGCCATGCCACTGCTGAGAAGAGGGGCAGAGCCAACTGACTACCAGACGGCCGGAAGTGTGGCCCCTAGGGCCAGCCACAAGTGCTTCTGGGACAGGCCATGGCGGCAGCTGGGCTGCAGAACCAGCCTTATCCTAAAGCAAACAGCTCTCCTGCCCTCGGCCAGCCCCACCCCCACCTGGCCCCCTGGACTTGCTGCAGGCTCAAGACCCACAGGAAGCCCACTGAGCAGGAAACTGGCCCCCTAGATTTCTGGGAATTCTGGCCACTAGGATGGCTGCCTCACCTCTATGTTTAGCCTAGGAAAGGCAAGGTCCATACTACCTGGATCCACATCCAATCCACTCAGCTGATGGGGAAACTGAGGCAAAACTCAAGAACACGGGCACCTGGCGGGGGAACCGGCTGCCCCCACCGTGGCCTAGAGAGAGCTGAGCGGGGGGAGACAGTTCTGGAGCTCAGGCCAGGGCCGCTTGCCCAGCATCAGGCCCCTCTCCAAAGCCACCTCCTCCAGAAAGCACCCCAACCCTCACAGACCCCAAGTCACAGCCCTGAGAAGACATCAGCAAGGGAAGAACACAGAAGGCTGCATGGGGAGACAGATGTGGGTAAACTGAGTCTGGGACAGGTTAAACTACTGTTGAGGGTAGGGGGACTGAACACTAGGGTGGTAACCAAGATGGGGGGCTGCCACCCCTTTCACTCCCCTCCCATCCCCTCTGACTCCCCCCACTGTGGAGCTGTAAAAAATGCAGGCAGGAATTGACGGGCCAGGGATGGGCAGAAGATGCCCAGAGAGTAGGCCCCAGAGTGGAGGTCCCATCTGGGAGGCTGCCCATCCCCGGCTCAGACCAGTCCCCGGTATCACCCAGAGATAAAAAGTCACAGGAGGACCCGTTATACTGTCCCCAACAGAGCAAGAGAGAACAACACTGTCACCCGATACACACTCTGTCCCGAAAGTTCCCAGATGCAAACACTCTGTCCACAATGCCCCCCCACACACACTGTCCTCAATGTTCTCAGACACACACACTGTCCACAGACAACGTCCTCAGATGTACACACTCTGTCCACAATGTCTCCAGACACATGCACTCTGACCATAGACAATGTCCCTAGACAAAATCTGTCCCCCATGTCCCCAGATGCACTCTGTCCCAGTGACCCCACAGACTCTGCCCCCAATGTCCCCTTACACACTGTCCACAATGTCCTCCAATGCACACACTCTGCCCTCAATGTTCTCAGATACATACTCTATCTACAGTGTCTCCCAGACATACTCTGTCCCCAGACAATGCTCCAGACATACACCGTCCCAATGTCCTCAAACACATACTCTGTCCACAGTGTCCCCAGATGCATACACACTGTCCTCATACATGTTCCCAGACATACACTCTGTCCCCAACATCCTCAGATGCACACACTCTGTCCACAATGTCCCCAGATGCACACACTGTCCCCCAACACACAAACACTATCCCTACACGATGCTCCCAGATGCACACATTCTGTCTCTAGTGTCCCCAAACACACTTTGTCCCCAGTGTCCCCAGATGCATACTGTTCCCCAACAATGCTCTCAGATGCACATACTCTATCTCCAGAGTTCCCAGACTCACACTCTGTTCATAATGTCCCAGATGCACACCCTGTCCCTATGTCCTCAGACACACACTCTGTCCACAATGTTCCCAGATGCACACACTCTGTCTCCACACAATGTCCCTAGACTCACACTCTGTCCCAGACAATATCTCCAGACACACACACTCTGTCCCCAGACAACATCCTAGACACACGTTATCACCAGACACACACTCTGTCCCCAATGTCCCCAGATGTACACTGTCCCAGACACACACTATCCCCACACAATGTCCCCAAATGCACACATTCTGTCTCCAATGTCCCTAGACACCTTGTCCTATGTCCCCAGACACATATTCTGTCCCCAATGTCCCCCCAAATACACTGTCCCCAGACATCTCCAGATATACACACTCTGTCCCCAGTGTCTTCAGATGCACACAATGTACCCAATGTCCCCTGATGCACTCTGTCCCCAATGTCTCCAGACACATACTCTATCCCCAGATAATGTCCCCAGATGCACACATTCTGTTCCCAATGTTCCCAGACACACACTCTTTACCCTCACTATGTCCCCAGATGCAGTGTCCCCCAATGATCCCAGATGCATACATTCTGCCCCCAGAAAGTGTTCCTAGACATTGTGTCCCCAGACAATGTCCCCAGACACACACACTGTCCCCAGACAATGTCTCCAGATTCACACTCTGTCCCCAGATGCATACTCTGTCCTCAGACAATACTGCCAGATGCCCACTCTGTCCCCAGTGCTCCTGGATGTACACACTGTGTCCCCAGACACACACTACCCACCATGTTCCCAGATGCACACACTCTGTCCCCAATGTCCCCAGATGCACACAGTGTCCCCAGACATACACATTCTGTCCCCAATGTCCCCAGATGCACACGCTCTGCCCCCAATGTCTCCAAATGCACACACTCTCTCCTCAATGTCCCCAAACACATTCTGTTCCTAATGTCTCCAGATGCACATACTCTGTCCCCAATGACCCAGGTGCAGACACCATGTCCCCAGATGCACACACTCTGTCCCCAGACAAGGTCTCCAGATGCACACTCTATCCCCTGACGCCCTTCTGCTCCAAGAGCTTGGGAAGTGGAGGTAGGGTGAGGTCCTAGAGGATGGAGGGTGAGGAGGCGGCAGCCTAGAGGGACAGGGATAGGACACCTTCCACCTCCTCCAGCCCCCCGGCCTCCTCCCTCCCCATAGTCTCTTCCTGCCTCCAGCTCAGCTCTCCATGGCCCAGCTTGGGGCACATGTGGGTCATGCCCAGGGCAGAGCCCACAGCAGCCCCAGCCAGGTCAGATGGGCTCCTGGGTTTGGGACGACAGGGGCTTCCAGGGACCTGATGAGCCACAGCCTCAGGGGCAGGTGCTGGCAGAGGACAACATGGGTGGTGGGAGCCATGGGAACACACCCACAGGACAGACAGGCCCGCTGTGTGCCCAGGGAGGCAGGAATAGGTGAGGCTGCAACTGACAGACCTCAACGCCTCCTCTGCCCCCAGCCCTGACCTGCTGACCCTGAGCTTGCTCACTGGGAGCTAGACATGGGCGGAGTGTGGGGGCTGGGGACCAGGTGGCCACTCAGGGCTGGCTCTATCCCCAGCGAGCCCTCCTGGGCCCAGAACTTCCAGCTGGAAAGAATTGCCTGGCCAGGCAGTAGACCTGGCCGTGATGGGGGCAGCCGGGCCCCATTCCTCCTGGAGAAGTGGAAGGGCCTCAGGGGGAGGGGCTTGGAAGGACAGCGTGGTGGGTCCTGACCCGAAGGGTAGGGACGAAGTCCAGCCCTGCCCATGAATGCCCCATGCCAGGCCCTTGGGAAGGTCACAGTGGGAGCCCACTCAGGCGCCAAGCCCTCTGTGGCTATGCCCCCAACTCCCACAGCATAGCCTAGCCCCTGGCTATACAAGTAGATGCAGCCCCCACCACCCACAGCTGGCTGCCATGTGGTGGTGCCAGGCCCACCAGGGCACCCAGTGCAGGGGCGGGTGGGAAACCCAAGAGACAATGGTCCTAGGGCCCAGAAAGTGAGCGTGAAGGGAAGTGCTCTTCCCCAGAAGGAAGAGCAAGG